CCTCGTGTGGCGTGTGCTGCTGGCGGAAAACGGTGGGGCCACCTGTTTTTAGAAGGAAAGGAAAAGCGTTGTGCTTCCTGATCAATGTCAACCGGGGCTAGGAAATAGACTGGGGGAGCTTATCATCAGTGTCTGTAGTTACGTGGGGACAGGCTGCCACGAAGGTGGAGGCGAGCTCTTTTCAGTAGTGCCCAGTGCCAGGGCAGGAGGCCAAGCCGAATCACTGGAGTGTCCCTCTGAACGTCAGGAAGGACCAGATGTGGTGTGAGGGTGCCTGAGCACTGGCACAGGTTGTCCAGAGAGGCTGTGCATTCTCTCCTTGGAAACATTCAAAAGCCACCTGGATGTGGACGTGGGGAACTGGCTTCAGCTGGCCCTGCTCAAGCAGGAGGTTGGACCAGATGACCTCCAGAGACCTTTCCAACCTCAGTTGTCCTGTAGTAACAACCTCGTAACTCAGTGAAACTGTAGTGTACGTTAAATTGCCATTACCTTAATGAAGAAAAACAACTTGATCTTTTTATTATCTGTTATAGCAAGTGCAGAACTGGTTAATACATTTTAAAGGAACAAAACTGCTTTGCCACATCTTTCTAACTTTACATTATTACGAATTTAGGGAGTTTTGAAGAGTAAAATAGAGCCGTGGAAGTTTGTGGTGTTACTCCCATGCTTCTGCATTGTATTTGCAAACTGTGATCCAGGGGCATGGCACAGACTATGTAACATGTAGTCCGTGACTTCCATTTTGTGCTACGAAGCCTTAGTGGATTTTGGACAGAATGCTTGGCATAGCTGAAGTTGATAAAGAGAGCTATTATCTTGGAAACAAAAACTATGGAGATAATGCAATAAACATCATTTCAGGACAGTGAAAAGACCATTATCATAGGAAGATTGTGTGATTATGCTTTTAAGACAGTGTGACCTGGGGTTCATAATATTTGTTTTTGAGCAGGTGTCTCTTAATCAGCTAAAATGGTTTTGAAGAAGAAGAAGGAAGTTCAGGTAGATGCATTCTTCCTTGATCACCAGCAGCTTGAAAAACTAAAGAGTAAGTGAGGTGTTTTTTTTCTGACCTAATGTGTAATTTCTTTTTCTGTTAGTAAATGCATTTGAGTAACTACTGAAATTGATCTGTTTGTTTCTTTTTTCTTGTTACTTTTTATTCTTGGTGGTTTTGTTTGTGGGTTTTAGGTGTGTTTGCTTTTTTTGTGAATTGTTTTTATTTTCTAATGACAATGGCTTCTTACCTTGTCAGAGTTAAAAATATCCTTTAGAACACCCTGTCTGTGGTCAGAAAGCTCTTTGCTTTTCTTATTGTTAGTGTGAAGGTGGTGGAAACTCCTTGTGATCCCATGTGCAGGCCTGTAATTCAGTGCTACCCAAAGTACTAGCCTTAATGTGTAGCATAACACTGAATTTCAAAGATCACAGACTGGCTGAGATTGGAGGGGGTTTGTGGAGGTCATCTCAAATGCATTTTCCTAGTCTTTGTGTTTTCTGTGATTAACTTGATTTACAAAAGATCCTGTTCAAACGATCTTTTATTTGGTGTGCGGTTTTTTGGTTGTTGTTTAAAGATCACTGGAAATTTAGCTCATCCCTTTAAAACAAACCCAACCCAAAATTGAATAATACAAGATTTGTGTACCAAAGGTGCTGTGCTGTGCTCCTTGCCTTCTGCTCAGCACTCATGGGGCCACACCTGGAGTGCTGCGTCCAGTTCTGGGCTCCCCAGTACAAGAGGTATGGACATACTGGAGAAAGTCCAGTGAAGGGCCACTGGAGCATTCCTCCTATGAGGAAAGGCTGAGAGAGCTGGGGACTCTTCTGCCTGGTGAAGAGAAGGCTCAGGGGGATCTTAACAAAGGGTAAAAACTATTTGAAGGGAGGAAGGCAGAGCCATGCTTTTGTCTGTGTTTTCAGTGATGGGACAGGAGACATTGGCACAAACTAAAACACAGGAGGTTCCCTCTGAACATCATGAAGCACTTTTTTCAGTGTGAGGGTGACTGAGCACTGGCACAGGTTTTCCAGGTAAGTTGGGGAGACTCCATCCTTGGAGGTATTCAGAAGCCATCTAGCCATGGTCTTGGGCAGCCTGCTCCAGGTGATGCTGCTTGAGCCAAGAGAGTTGGATCAGATCACCTCTGGAGGTCCCTTCCAAGTTCAGTCATGCTGTGATTTTGTAAAACTGGTCTTCATAGTGAAGATGTGGCCTACTATTTTATTATAGTGAATCATGTTTGGTTTTTTTTCATTTGTTAGGAAAAAAATTGATATTAAGGTGTTGTAAGGTGACTTAAGGGACTGCGGCACCAGTAGGTCTATTGGAACAGGAAAAGTCCTTAAGAATTAAGCAGTGATTTCTTATTATAAATTATTAATTCTTTACACTTTTTATTGTAATTCCACTCTAAAAAGAGACTGCTTTTCCAAATGCAGAGTTTTCAAAGAATGAAGAGAAAAACTTGGCATCCCTGCTTCTGCACTGTGCACAGCTCAGCAATGGCATCCAGCAGATCCAATGCATTAAACAAGTAAGACTTCATTGTTGTCAGAGTGGGTTTTGGTAACCCACAGTGAGTTATGTGCACTGTTCATGGGAAATAGGATTCTAAAATAAACTTTCAGTTATTCTGAAAACAAAATAATGTTTTGAACATTCCTGGACACAGGTAAGAAGCAGTTACTGCTGCACACGCAGGTAGAATTGTAGTTCTAGTACAAAATTGTCAAGGGCTACAGTTACTGAAAATGATGGAAGGGGAGTGATACTGAGTTTCCTGTTCTGTATGTATGTAGTTTTGGTATTAGAGGTGTTCTTGGAACAGACTTCACTGGAAACTCAGCAGGATATGGGAAGGAGAGGGCAGTTTTGCAGCATGTCCATGGATAAGAGGGAATTCAGCCTCAGTTATTGAATTGGGTATATCCAGAGCTTTTGTTGATCATATGTTGATTACAGATTGCCCCGTTGGTGAAGAAGATGGATCAATACTCTGCATGTGATCCCATGGTTAAAGCTTGTTTGGATATTTTGGGAGAGATGTATTTTTCACTGAGCACAAAGAATCCCTTGAAGAAAGTATTAGCAAGGTAAAAAATGGCATAGTAAGCCTTTATCTTTTTTTAAACACTCTCCTTAGAAGCCAGTGATTTGTCATGTGCTACCAATGGCTGTGGTTTAATTACTGAAAATTTGTGGTACTAATATCTGAATATCTACTGTTTTTCTTTCTTGCTTAGTTAAAAACCTTAACTACAATACACTATGCCATTGGATAAGTAACTTCAAAGTGAAATATTATTTCAATCTGTTTCATTACTGCAAAAATATAACTAGCTTTTGAAGAGTAAAATCCAATATGAGAGGAGAAGTTTAAAATGCTTCTGTTAAACTAAAATCTCAGCCAACAATGTCCGGAGAAGGCTGTTTAGAGAAATCACAACTCAACTGTGGGTTCTTGTGCCTATTTTTATTGCCTATTTTTATTATTGTTAAATTTTTCTGTTGCAAAATTACTGTTGTATTTTTTATTGAATTTAGTACGGCCTTAACATTTTTAAGGTCCATTGCTTAGCCATCTTCATTTCTATGTCCCAAAAGCATTTATTTTGTCCTACTGAGATGTGCCAGGCTTCCATCCTGTATTAGGTTGCATGCCAGAGCTTTATACCCCTTTGGCAGGTTTTCTATCTGCAGAATGAAAACACACGTGCTTATTTTTAAACAGAATGTTTTTGTGCAGAAAGCAACATCTGTCTGTTATTGGAGTTTTAGCTGATGCTGACTTTAGTCTAGTGGACTTTTAACACCTCAGTATGAGGTAACTGATCATGCTGTTTCTTACTGTTGCAGTTCACTAAATGGTCTTCCTGAGCAGTTCGTGATGTTAGGTGTACAAAGCTTTGTCTGCTGCCTTAGGGAAGAACTGAAAACCACAGATGTGTATTTGTACAGAAAAGTACTGGACAACCTTGCTGCCTGTCTGGAGGACTTCACCTTAGGTATGATGATGTTGAGTGTATCACCTTCTGTTTTAACTTATTCAGCACTGGTTTTATTTTGGTGTGGCACCTGGTAGTCGTATTTACACTTTCTCTCTGTAAAATTGTATTGGCTAGTATTCATTAGTTAAAATGTATTTTCTTTCCTCTAGGTAGAGCAAGTATTAAGAACCTGTTTGAAGAAGGTAAAGTTACATTTATAGTAAAATAAGTTTCATTGTAGATTATTGGGGGAGGGTTGTGTCTGAAGAAGTAAGATGAGTTAGGGATCTACCAGATTTGATTTCCTCCTGGTTAATTTTTAATAACTGCTGGCTTCACATGGTATCTTTTTGTCAAAGGCTTTCCTTTGATTTGTACCTTTAATTTCCAGGATTCAGTCTTGGTTTATTGAGCAGCACTAGTTATAAATCTAAGAAGGTACCAGTGAGTGATTCTTAAAAGGGCTGGTGGAGCTGGTGCTGCTCCGTGTGACGTATTCTCTGCCCTGTCCCTCATGATGGAGTCAGATGTGGTAACACTGAGCTGTTAAAAGCCAGTCTTGATTGTAGCAAGCCCAGGCCTGCTGCAGCAAGAATTTTGTTTGGCAGGAGTCTGTTCTGCTGGTAACATGGGATAACTTTGACATCCCGTGCCCTCAGCATGCAGGTAACAGTCACAGCTTCCTGTGGACCTCTTATTGACGGCCTGTCCTTAGCTCTGGGTCATTTCAGTTTTTCACTGAGGAACCAGAACTCTCAATACCTCACAGAATTAGGACAAGTGGGTTGGAAACTTGTGTTTTGCAGTAGGTTGTTGCAGGCTGGCTTGAGTTTTTGTGTTAGCTTTCCTTCTTTGGGTCTGCACTGAAACACTGGCTTAATTTGTTTATGGCCTGGAAGAAACACCACTGGATATATGGATAACTGTTCTTTGGGTCTGGCTGTGATGTGTGTCTCATTACCTTGCTGGAATTTTTCTGTTCCATTTCGCTTGAATAAATCTATACCATAATTATTTTTACTAGTTCTTCAGTTTCTGCAGAAGTCACTACTTGACATCCAGGAAGAAAACAGGCAAGTAAATTCAATATAAGCTGTATTTTATCTGGTTTTATTTTACTCTTGCAAGATAGCCTGGCATGCCTTGGAATATCACTTCGATAGCCATACATGGAGGAAAGATGAGAATGTCATTTTACAGTGATGGATATTTTAAATTAAAAAAAAAGAAAGCTACTGATAAGTTTCTTTTGTCTCAGTACGATGATATAAAATGAGGGGAAAGGAAGAAAGTTGAAGGCAATAACATACAAAGCACCAATACTGTTAGATTGACTGCTTTTATGGGAGGTCTTTGAGCTGTGGTTTTGCTATCTGAACTGTGCCTAAACACTAATAGATAGAAACACTTATTAAAATTCAGGTGGGGTAATACTCTTCCACTTTATGTGAGTGTTTAATGTGGTGTTGATACTCTGTTTAGTCTGTCACAGGAGTTGTCATATAATCTTGACAATTTCCAGCACTGCATAAAGTTGAAGCCTCTTCACTGTGGTGCCTCACCAAGTACCCAGAAGAAAAGGGTTCTTAATGGTGTGTTTTGTACATTAAAAGTTTGTGTTGTCTGTCTTCACGTTAGAAGAAAGTAGAGTTACAGAAATATCCTTTGCACTTGGAAGAAAAATGAGAAAGGGGCAGCACTGTGTTCTGTCAGCCTTTTTTGACAGTTTCTGGAAGTGTTCAGCTCTGCTCAGAATCTAATGAGTGAAAGCTTGTCACAGGAACCTGCAGAAGCTGTAGTGGAGTTTGTCATTATGTTTGTTAACTTCATTTTTAAAACACAGCCATTGAGTCTGCTTCTTGTTTTCCTGTGGAAATGTATCTAGCCAACTCAATAAATTAGTTTTTATCATTAATTCTATCTGAAGTTGGGTGAATGCAGTTTTCTGGGGATGGTAAAGAATGATTTTGATTATATTTTTGTGTGCATGTCTGTCTTTTATTTTTCCACAGAAATAATCATGGAAATTGTATTGTTCAGAATCAGTTGATGTATGATTTGCTGATAGCCATCAAAGTTTCAATGATGTTTGTACAGAAATTACAAGAAAATATCCAGGAAAGGCTCTGGAAACATCATGAGTCTTTTGTTTGGCAGAGTATGTGTAGTTTACTGAAAAGCTCCACAAACTTCCTAACAGATGGTAAGTTTAGTAACATTCAAATGCAAATATTTTTGTTGCCAATCCTGTGTTTGTAGTAAATGCAGCCTGTCCCTACAAAAGCTTAGTTCAGCTTTGATGGAAATTGAACTGCTAAGATTAATGGGAGAAGTAGTAGTGCCTTTGGTGAGCTATGACTTGTAGATCTTAATTTTGGTGTGTACAGTTTAACTTGTCCTACTATAAAAAAAGTAAATGCTCTTACTAATAATTGAGAACTTAGCAGAAATAATTTTGAGACTCACCAAATGTCTGTGCCTACCAAAAATTGGTGTATCCATATGAATGATGCTGTCAAACTCTTTATTGGTGCATTATTACTAATTATGTTTATTTCTTATACAGATAGTTTTGTACTGTAGAATTTAATATAAATGTCAGTAGGTTCTCCCACAGTCTTCCTTGTTTTATATTTTATTTCTATTAGGAGTAAAATATATTCTATATTTTAGAAGATATTAAGAGTTTCCTATTAGAGTATTAAATTTGTTAATACTTTCTATTCAGGTGGGCATTACAGATTTGTGATGATGCCACTACAAGTGGCCTAGGATAATTCAACACCATGTTAGTAGTTTTGGTACATAGCTCTAGCATGTTTGCACTCTAATGTAAAATGTCTTTCTCTGCCCTGTAGCAACTCTACTACAAACTGTTCAGACCACCTCAGGACTGGCCATTATTCTGTTTATTAAAGTGATGTATGAGCCAGTTGAAGAATTACCTTTCTTGGTGAGTGTATTCCTTCACTAAACACTGTGACATGTTACAGTGCCATTGGTCAGTGCTGCCACTGTTGTTTGGAGGCTTTGCTGATGTGCATAGCAGGACTGGCCCACCTCTTTGTCAGCCTTCTGTAAAAGGAGTATAAAGGAGTGTAAATCCTTTATTTTCCCCTTGCTGTGGGAGATGATGAGACTAGGGTTTGGAATTTGAGGAAAACCACGTGCAATAAGTATCCTCAGATCTTCTAAGATTCTCAGTTAAGCACAAAACAGCTCTTGTCCTGTGCTGAGGTACTGTAATGGGTCTTGCTTTGCAATTGCAGGTGGGTGACTTGCTGCGTGGGTCAGTGAAGCACAGAGGTGTGCCCACGTGGCTGGCCAGTAGCTGCAGGGCTCTCTGGATGCAAGAACTCCCTGACTCTGGCCTCCTCTTTCTCTGCCATGGAGCACTGGCCATGCTGGAATGGAAGAATGGCAGCATGGGTGAAAATGGGGAGAAACTGTTACTGGATATCGCATCAGTTCTGTTGTCTTTGGGTTCAGAGTGAGTCTGCTGTGATTTGTGTTGTTTCATGTTTGGGAGCTGAGAGTTGATCTTTTTACTTGTATTTTGGCATGGCTCCTATGGTCCTGGTGGAGCATCTCTTTGTGTTATGCTATTAGTTTCTGCCACAGACCATGTCATCTTTTAATTTATCCAGAATAACTCTCTAAGTGTGAAAAATACATCGTCTTGATATGCACAGATAGTTCTAAGTTACAATCTTCTCTTGCATGTTAAAATTAAATTTTATTTTTCCAAAGTAGGTCTGATAAGTTTAGCAACTACCTGATGGTGAGGTGTGGCAGAGTCAGTTGTTATGTACTCAGATAAACTTCAGTTTCAGGACATCACTTCTGATGCTTTTAAAAGTACAGAAGAAAACAGCGTGCCAATGAGTGGGAATGACCTGAAGTAAGATGGGGTTTAATTGTTTTCTTGTTGCAAGCATTGCTTGCATCTGATGGACTCCCAGCACTGTTGGATAGGAGATGACACTGTGTATTCAATTCAACCTTTGTTCCTGCCTGGGAGATGAGTGTTGTGATTTTGTTTTTGCACGTGGTGCTCAGGTTTTATGGTTTATATGTCAATGAAAAGTTCTCCATGTTTTTTTTTTTTCAAGAAGCATGCAATAATGTAATGCTACTAAAGAATTAGTGTGGATATTAATTATTATTTCTGTTTCTAAAATAGCAAGTGTAGGGGCTTGTCAGCTTTCTTTTCCCCATACATAGGGGTTTTAGCTGTGACCAGTTAACAGTATGTCAGCTAATTAAGCATTCACTTTGCAACAACCAATTCATCAACTCCCTTTTGGTTTATTTCCTTTCCTGCAATGCATGGTTAGTGCTCCCCACATGTTTTAGTGTGAGGCAGACTAGCTTGACAAAGAAATATTCTGAAACAAAAAAAATATTGTTTGAAAAAAACTGACAAATGCATATGTTGAACTTCTTTTTGTTTGTTCTTTTAAAAAGGTCAAAAGAATCCAGCGTGGCAACATCTTTGTCTAGGATCCTGGCTATATGGACTAATTCAGCACTGGCTGCCCTCGTTTCAGCTTCACCACATCTGAAAACCAAACTCAACGGGAACTCGGATGTAGTTGAGAAGCTGCTGGAATACATTTATACACACTGGGAACACCCTCTGGATGCTGTTAGACACCAAACCAAATTGATATTCAAGAATCTTCTTCAGATACACCGAGCCACCATTGCTGGATGCAGTGAAGAATCAGACCCCTTCTTTTCAAGGCTGATGAAGCGTTTGCTAAGCCTGGAATGGCACGTGAAAGGGAAATATGCTTCTCTTGGCTGTCTTGTGGAGTGTGTGGGCACTGAAAATATACTGCAGTTGGACAGAACAATTCCAGTGCAAATCTTGGACGTGATGAATGATCAGTCTCTGGCACCCTATGCAAGTGATCTTTTGGAAACTATGTTTACAAATCACAAAGCCCATTTCACTTCGAGTTTCCAAGAAAGCACGTGGATTGACAAGTGGCATGACATCTGGGTTTCTCCTCTTCTAGAAATACTGTGTGAAGGGAACCATGAGCAGACTACTTATATAATAGATTACTATTTACCAAAATTGCTCAAATGTAGCCCTGACAGTCTGAGCTACATGATTACAATTCTCCAGGCTTCTGCAGATGCTAATATAGGTAAGAAAATAAGTCATCTGTTTGCAACTATGATGAAAAGAAATTCTCAGAAATATGATTTATCATCTATTATTATTATTATTGTAATAAATTTGGGAGAAAAATTCCAGATAGTTATTTTTGCTGTTAGTATTTCCAGGTGGAATTCATAGTAATTGTAAATGCCTTCATGCCATGAGCAACATAATTAATATTCTAACTGTGGGTGCCTTACTGGTCTCTTTATATGCTAACCCTTGTTACATATAACTGTTTTTCCTACTAGTTTTCTGTTCTGCTGTTATTTCTTGCACAGGTGTGACCTCAAACAGGGCTTTACAGATTGCTTTTTATGGCAAATATGTGGATTTGAGATGTGTGATTGTTTTGTAGCTTTTGTCATAATGTAGTGTGATTCTAAAATAAGAGTTTGTGAGACGTCGTGGGGTCCTATTTTCATATGATGTTAAAGACAAAGCTTTTTGGGAGCAAGGCAATTTAGAAGTAGTTTAATCTGTGAGAGAAACCATCTTTTGGGGTCTATGGGGTGAAAAATAAAAGGGGGATAAGGTTCTCATGGTGGAAGTATTGAGAGTTTCTGACAGGCACTGCAGTTAGTACATTGTGTTCATCAAACTATCGTTATTTCTGTTTTTCATTTCCTTTAGGCTCTGGCAGTACTAGAGGAGCTCTTGGAGCATTAATGGCATGCCTAAGAACAGCCAGGGCTCACGGACACCTGGACCTTTCAAACATCATCAGCAATGGTCTTGTATCCACTGAGTGTATAAAACAGGGTCTAGTTCATCAGCACAACCAGGTAAAGGGACAACTTTTTTGTGTGTCTAAGTTAAAGGAATTGCTTTGGTCCTAAATACTCTGTCAGTGTTGTTAAAACAAAGGTGCCTGTAACTCTTTTGTGGTTAACATGTAAATATCTTGCAGGTTTGCATTGATGCTTTAGGTTTACTGTGTGAAACCCATCGTAGCACGGAAATCGTCTCTGTGGAAGAAATGGAACTAATTCAGTTTTTTATGATGTACAACTTGAACAGCCAGTCTCCTTCAGTAAGGCAACAGATAGGTTCTTTACTGAGAAAGGTAATTCCAAACTATAAAGAATGTCTAGTGTGCCTGTTACATTAGTTATATAGCATTTAAAAGAAAAAATCTGCTTAGTATGTTATGAAGTTGCTCATCTGAAAGAGCAGAAGCTTTAAGACCAGGACTGTTGTGTGTGTTACCCAGTTTGAATGATGACAAGTCACTGCAGGCAAGCATAAACAAAAAATTAAGTACAGTAACTTGATTGTGAATGGTAGCAAGTGTTCCTTAACCTGCCAGCATACACAGGCTGTACCAATAGCAGAGCAGGGTGCTGTGCAGTGTAAGCAATGAACCTTGTGTTGCCTTTGGTGTGGACTAAGCATGTGCTTGTGTGGGCTTACTAGGCCTCGGGCAAATTCACAGCCTTTTGAACCACCTTAGTAACCTGACTTGGAGGAGAAGGAAGAGGAATAGAGAGAGGAGGACAGGACGTGTAGCTGGGTTGTTACAGTCTGCAGGGATTGAGGGTGTCAACGTTGTGGACGTTGCCATGGTCACATGTAGATCATGGTAGAAGGATGTGGTTAAAATGAGGAGACCATGGGTGTATAAAGAACGTTCTGGAAGATGTTAATGGCAAAAAAAAGCTGTGTGGAAGCAGACAATAGTTAATCTGAGATGGGGAAAAATGAGGGAATAGGTTTGGCCTAAGCAAAAGAGAAGTCCATCTATTTCCATTCTTGCCTGGTGAGGAGTATGAGATGGAAAAGTTGTGTTAGAGGGAGTGTAATAAGAATGGAAATAATCCTAGTGGGTAATAAAAGAGCTGGGAGAAGTGCTCCTGAGGCAAGAGAAACTCCAAGAGACACCGAAGCTGTAAAAATTGTATGTGTTAATTCAGCTTTCTCTTGTAGGGGAACGTGTGCTCCACAGAAAATGGGGAGATGGGAGGAGAAAATTAGGGATGAATTTAAGGAGGAAGGTGGAAGAAGGTGTTGGAGGTGCAGGGGGGGGCAGAAAAATGTTGGTCACAAGAGCTTAAAACTTGGTTTTGGAATGGAGGAAGAAAGATCTGTTCTGTGTCACACTGTATGCAAGCTTTTTGAAAATCACAAGCAATGTGATCTGGAAAATAAGCTGAAAATCCCCCTTTCCCTTATTTAACTGTCAATGATTCATGTCTTACCTGTGCTTTGCTTTTGTTTTAAAAGTTATTTTGTAGGATACAAGAAAGTTCCCAGGTGCTTTTTAGAATGGAGCAAAATAAAACCAAGCAAGAGTTACCTGAAAACTCAACTAAAAGGCATCCTCTGGGGATTCTGCAGCAATATAAAGTAAGTTAGACTGCTGTGGAGATACAGATAGAAGAGCATGTCTGACAGATAGCTCATTGTTCTTGAGAACACCTCTGGGCAGGTGGGGCTGTGTCTGTGTTAGGAAATGGTGCAGTGCAGAAGGAAGAAACTGGCAAAGCAAAGCAGTGCTCAGGACTTTGTCAACTCTCTGTGCACATATGCCAAGTTAATTTTAACCAAATGTCCTGTTGTCTCAGGAACTGAGTGACCATTAGTATTTGGAGGGTATCTTTAAGGTTTATTTTGTGCAAGGGCAATGAAGGTTATCATCTCCTCTGTGCTGTCAACTAAACCAGCAGTAAGTGGAAAGTGACTTGGAGATGTACCTCCAGTCCAACCCAAAATTTTAATATAAATACCCAGTCTGCTCCTGGCAGTTTAGTAGCAAGTTTTAAATCATGTGCATTACTTGGGCTTGAAATAGAGGTCTGTTGAGCTTCAGCCTTTTTCTATCTCTCCAGAGTGATCAGTGAGAGAATATGAATTTGACAGCTTCAGCATAAAGACTTTCATATAAAGACTTCTTCTGTATTAATCCTTTTTTTTTTCTATTTGAAGGCTCACATTATCAGTTTCTTTGTGTTATAACGTTTCTTGTTTTGAGTTCTGCTTTTCTTCAGCTAATTTTCAAGGTTTTGATACAATGGTCATCTTTTTCTTGGGAGTATTTTTTCTTTCCAGTGGAAACTGTTTGGTTGTTGTGTGGTGTGGGTTTTCTTTTGTTTTTTTTTTTTGTTTTAATTTCTTACTATTATTATTTTTAAACAAACAAACAAAACCAAAACAGTTGTCCAGCCTTCACTGTACTCCAGGGAACAAGAAATCTGTTAGTACTATAAAGGTGGGCCTCACATTCTTCCAGCATTAACTGTAAGGTCATAATTTTTGCAGTGACATGTAAAGCAGAATGTCCTGAATTCTGTCAGTTAAACTCTTGTTTGCAGGACAGCAAGTAAGCTTAATTTTTTTTTTCTTGTGATTTTCAGGATTTCATGTCATCTCTATGTGACAGACTTTTTGAGGCACTGTTTCCTGGTTCATCACACCCAACCAGATTTTCTGCACTAACTATTTTAGGATCATTAGCAGAAATATTTTCTGTTCCAAAAGGTGAGAAGTTTAATTTGTAGCCTTTAGGAGTGGGAGATATTGAAGAGTCTTTTATGCCAGGTAGTCAATTTCTGTCAAAACATTCTTAGTCCTTAATTTCTATGGCATTGCCTGTATTGCTTTTGTTTTGCTTGAAGGGAGGGTAGTAAGTTTTATTGAAAAAGGCAATATTGAAGTGAATGGAAGTATTTATGGCCTGTTGTATATCTTCCATAAATTGGGTTTTTCTTGCATAGCCTGTTTTTTAGCAAGGTTTTTCAATGATTTTCTGATATTATGAGGAAAATTTATGGACAAGATTCAATCTATTTGATAACTTTATCCCTTTTCCCTGTTCTAACATCTTAGAATCATAGAATCCTTTAGGTTGGAAGGGACCTCTAAGATCATCAAGTCCAACCATCAAGCCAACACTACTAAGTCCTCTGCTAAAACAGATCAGAATCTGTCAGGGTTGGAAGGGACCGCAAGGATCCCCCAGTTCCAACCCCTCTGTCATGAGCAGGGACACCTCCCACTAGATCAGGCTGCCCAGAGCCTCCTCCAGCCTGGCCTTAAAGACCCCCAGGGATGGGGCCTCAGCCACCTCCCTGGGCAACCCATGCCAGGGGCTCACCACTCTCATGGGGAAGAACTTCTTCCTCACATCCAGCCTGAATCTGCCCACTGCCAGCTTTGCCCCATTCCCCCTAGTCCTGTCGTTACTCGATAGCCTAAAAAGTCCCTCCCCAGCTTTCTTGTAGGCCCCCCTAAGATACTGGAAGGCCACAATAAGGTCCCCTGGGAGCCTTCTCTTCTCCAGACTGAACAGCCCCAACTCTCTCAGTCTGTCCTCATAGGAGAGCTGCTCCTATCATAGATTATATATCTTACTATCATATTTGATAATATGTAATTTAAAATGTTGAGAACTGCAAAACCCCTTGATTTAAAAGGCTTGCACATCCTCATACTATTATTATAGCAAGTCATGATGAATTTAAGGAGGACAGTTTATGATGTTATTTTAGTATTATTATTCATCTTTCATGATTGTTGTTGTACTGCTTTTATTTTCTATTTTAATCACAATATTCTAATAACCCGAATTCACAAAGTATTTGATAGAGACTTGGAACATTAATCTTGCTAAATCTTGGATCATATGGCCAACATAAAAGTGTGTTTTCAGTCTTTATTTGAAACCTTTTTTTTTATTTAAGGAAATGTGATGCAAAGTACAAGGTGATTTTGGGAGGGAAGAAAAATTACTTCCGTGATAGATCTGATAAGTCACAAACACATTAATGTGATTATTATGAATTTGTGGCATTTGGTTGCTGCTTGGTTTTTTAATAGAAAGTTGTATTGAGAGTTGTTTATAATAGCACCTGTAGGACTTCAGAAGCTTGATGTTACTGCCATGAAGGAGATTTAGCTGCTGTGTTCTGTGCTGGAATGTGGGGTACTTGTTTACCTCTTAAAATATCTGTCTTCTTTACAGCATTAGATTAGTTGCCAGATGTCATGACATATAAATTAAAATAAAAAAATTGTAATGGCTTCCATTTTAGGGAATTATTCCTGTGACAAAAAGAACCCTGAAAATTAAACACCCAAACACACCTTTTTTTCAGAGGAATAATTTTCTAGTATTACATACTTCCAGGAAAAGAATTTTTAGCAAAGCTAAAATCAAGGTTATTTTCAATGATGAATTGAATGTGAAAAAATGGGGTTCTGTTTTTGACAATAAGTTACTTCCTGTATTACTGTTAAGTCTTTTTTTGTCTTTGACAACCTTGTTTTTCAACAGCAAACATGGTACTTTAAGACTTAATAAAAGCAAGTAATATTAAAATAATGATTTAGCTAAAATTTTATTTCAAAACTCCTTTTAATATAGCAAAGCAACATGTGCATACAGTGCTTATTCTGGGAAGAATTGCAGCAAAACCATGTAAGGCATTGATTTCTTTGGACAGGCCAGGCACAGGTTTTTCAGTTGGATCAGGAGATTGATTCTGCTCGTGTCCGAACTTTGATCCAGTGTCTGGCCAGTACTTTTGAGGAAGTAAAAGTTCTGGCATTTGGGCTTCTGATGAAACTACACAACGTTGCATTGGATTCACAGGTATGTCATGAAAAACGTTTTGAAGGGAGAAGTTCAGTGAAAGTTGAATGATATGTATTATGCCAGGTACTGGGATTAGGTACAAAGCATAATTCCTGAAAATGAGAAGTCAATCCCAGTTGCCTGCAGTTGTGTTCATCACTAGCACCTTCTGTATATTTTTATATGGCTTCTGCCCATACCAGGAGGCTTTTTTTCCACTAAGGGATGCAGTTTTGGAAGTTGACTGGGGATGACTGTCAACTGTCAGAGCAATAGTTAAGGCAAGCTCCTTGCTTAGATGTGACTTTGCTTTGTAAATGATTGAGGCACTTGACAAATCCAAATGCATGTTTTGAATGTAAAGTGATCAGTGTACAAAATGAGTGTTTCTTAGGAAATACAAACCAGCAAACTTATTGAAAAGCAGGTTTTTAGATTCCAGGGTGCTAAGTAGCTTCATTTAATCAATATGGAAGGTCAATAAAATGAGCCAATGTTGTGGTTTTGTTGTTTTTTTTCAGGATTCTGAAAATCTAGGTCTCCTGTTCCAGGCAGCAATGGATCTTAGCACAAGTACAAAGCCATACGATTGTGTCACTGCTTCATATTTGTTGAACTTCTTAGTGCATCATAAAGGACTATTTTGTTCAGGAAAATGGGTTGAGCATAACCCCCAGGTAGATGAAACCACATCAGTAAGTACAGTGGAGAAGAACACCTTAGCAGGTAAGCCTTTGGGGAAGTGAACACCAAAGTGTTTTGTGTTTATTTGAAACCTTATTGCTTTCCCTTAAGGCTTTTGGTAGGATGAGTGAGGCATACTGAGTAAGAGATGCTTATTTCTAATAGGATTTTAACTACTCTTTGTTTTGCTGCTAAGAAGATGGATGTCTTGGTAAGATCTTAATCTAGTCCTGTCCACTCTGAGGCTACTGAATGTTCTTAGACATTGGCTTCTGTTAATAGTTTGATCAGAGGGAAGGTGACTTTGAGGCCCTGGTAGCTAGCCTGATGAAGCTGTGCAGGAAAGGAAGCTCTGCTTCTTCTAGGAGCTTGCTCACCCAGAGCAAAGGCAGCTGTAGCAATGCTGCAAATGCACAGGTAACCTCATGTTTTGTTGTTAGTTATCTCTAGCTCTTGATTTGGGTCTGTAATTCATTCCAGTTCTGACATTCTGACATATAAATTAAATAGGTTTTTGTAGCCTTGAAAATTGGGCAGTCTCTTTACAGGCTAGTGTAAGATTCAAATACTTAACTGTAAACTTCTGATCTTTAATATTCTGCTGAACTGTTTGGTGTATTAGCCTGGCTATAAGGGTGAAGTCTGACTTTCAGTATGTGGTAGGTTAACATCTTTGGCTTCATCATGAGCCGTGGGATTGTCCCTGAGTGTGGGATCCTGGGCTGTGCTTTTCACAGCTGCTGCTGGATTTGGGTAGGCTGAATTGACTGTAAGAAATATTGCTGAGTTTATGTCACTGAAGATCAACAATAACTTTTATTTAAATGACAGAAAGCTGAAAAAAGTAAACAAGGAAATTCCTGTGTATTTTCCATTGAATTGTGTAAATGGTTTATTCCTATTTCTTTAAAGCAGGTTTGTTTCTTAGAAAATACCATATATGCATGTGTAAGGCAAATCTGTACTTTTTATAATTTTAGTTATCAAGCTTTTGTTGGTGAATGTTGAAGAAGAAATATTTCAAGCTAAGAAGTCTCTGCTTCAAGCAGCAGCATCATTCCCAATGTATGGGAGAGTGCATTGTATAACTGGGGCTTTGCAGCAATTACCTTTAAAGTAAGTAAAGTATACTACTAAAAAGTAAATCATAACTCCATATTTAGGCATAGTGGAAGAGCTGCTCAGGAGACCATGAAAGCATACAGTGTTATTTGTAACTAAATGCAGTACCTGGGGCTTTTAGAACCCTCACTGGCTGCTGCACTGATTAGCTGTTGGATATTTCCTTCATATGTGTTAAACTCAGTCTTACAGCTTTTTGAACTGGACTCTGTAGCTTTCATAAATACTGTTGCCAACGTGTTTGTAATTTCAATTCTTTCTCTTAAACATAAAGTTATTTTTGATCCATGTTGTGTTGGGTTTTGTTTTGGTTTATTTTTTTGTTTGTTTGTTTGTTTTTGGTTTTTTTTTTAGTAACTTGACATTGGTAGCTGAATGGAAGGAAATGGTGGCCAGGCTCATTCTGATGTCATACAAACTCTCTGCTGTAGTATCCCCAGTAGTACAGAGCTCATCCCCAGAGGGTCTTATTCCAATGGATAATGATTCAGGTAAACAAACAAAACCCCAAAAGAATTATGTTCAAATCTGAAGCTCCTGAAGTTCTGTTTGTCTTACAGCAATTCAGAACTAAAGCTAGCACCCCTCCCTTTCAGTTTCTCATTTTATGTCATAATCTTAAGCCACTCTTAACTTCTGATAGAGATTGTCTTGAAGTCTGCACTAAAAAGCCCCCCCCCATTTGCAGGTTGTGTTGTGGGATCTGTTTCACACTAGATTGACTGTAAGGTCCAGTTTTGTTTTGTCCTTAATCCTCATAGTCACTGTATTTTTTAATTGCATTTTTTTATAGTGCTGATAGGGTTTTTTTGTACTTACATGCTGAAAATTAATTGCATTTGTATAAAGAATTGGAAGCAAAAATCTAATGCTTCTCTTGTTTGATGTGTAGAAAGTTCAGATCGTCTGCAGATGATTCTGCATGAGATACAACCACAGGACACAAATGATTATTTCACTCAGGCAAAACTTTTGAAAGAACACTGCAAAGTAGGCTCTGAAGAGCTGGCTGACCACAGAGCAACAGAAAGTATTTGCACAGAAATGAGAGGTAAATCCAATGCTGTATTAGTAATTAAATCAAAATATTCTTTACAGAGCAAGCATTATACATGGGTGATCAAAATGGGAACTTACTTGCTCAAGTGTAATATTTTAGTTCTGCAATAAATGTGGCAGAAGGTATTCATGGACATGGTTTTAAAGACTTAATTCATTGTGTTTCTGGAAGGTGGTGGTTAATGCCTCTTAGAGCACAAGTGAAAAAGAGTTTTGATCCTGGCTTAGACTCTGTTGTCTTGACTGCACTGGCCAGGTAATCTTTAACACCTTTTATGTCAAGTGATGCTTTCAATGCATTTCTTGTTGAAAGGTGTCAGTGTCATTTCCCTCTCAGTGTACACACGACTAGTGGGGAATATGTTCATGCAATAAAACTTGTTGCATGAATTTACACAAGCAGAATCTTCCATTTGAAAGATTCCAGTGGTAAAATGTTAGAAAGTGTCATTGAGCCTTACTGTGATAAAGAAATCGTAAACTTCAGTGTATTTAGTGTGTGCCAGACTAAATTTATCAAATATCTGTACATTTTAAAATTTAATAGTTTATACAAACTTTTAAAGTCTTAAATATTTGAACTTTTTCCTCATGTTTTTTCCTGTGTTTAAAATAGTCTCAGTTGGGCCATATGTTTTTTTTCATGAAGCCTGTACATATGTTGAAGTGTCACAGTGCCCACCAGATGGGGATGTTGCATTAGAAAAGTCATGCCTTAGCCAGGCTCTTCCTAGGGCAACACCTGGCTTACAACCCAAGTAACATCTAGCAAGTGATGGACTGGTGATTGACGTGGGGTTTGTTGGAGCCTGACTCCAAACTTGGGTTTTTTTGTATAGTTTGGCGTGCAGGTGAATACCAATTGTGAGGAAAAAGACCTCAAGTCTTTATGAGTTTTCTGGTAAAACTGTATACTGCCACCTTTTCCAAGTGGAATGAAGTAGTGAGTGCTCAGGAGTGGAAGAAATTAAGGTCAGCAAAACTGAATTATCTTTTGGCTTAGCAAGTGTATAAATTTTTTTAACAGTTAATTGTGTTTTGTGAGAAGATCAGGCTAAATGAAATTTAAATCACAAGTCTACATCTGAGAATCTTGAGTTACACTATTATGTTTGTCTTTTTTTAAAAAATTTATTTTTAAGGTAAAGAGAGGCAAACCTGTGATGTCACAGCTCAAATGGTTCTTGTGTGCTGCTGGAGAAGCATGAAGGAAGTGTCTCTGCTCTTAGGGACACTGTGTAAACTTCTGCCTTCAAAGCCTGAGGCTGAACCTTCAACTGGGTTGATTACTGTAGAACAGGTAGGGAAGTAGCTTTTAGACTATAAAACCTTCACTTTCTTTTGGGATGCTGATGAGGGTGGGGGAAAGGCAGTTTTCTGAAAACTTTTTTCTTAAATGTACATTCTATATGGGAAAAGGTGGTGTGGTGTGCTTTTTTTCTTTTTTGCCATGTTCTTCTCATGGTTTTCTTGTTTTATTATACTTGGTTAACAGTTACTTTTTGATAAAATGGTATTCAGAAGGCATAACTGTAGTAGTAATAGGTAAGTGAAGAAATTATACCTAGCTAACAAACTCAAGGAATATTTTTCTAATAGTATTGGGTTATTTATAAAAGGTATGCTGTGTTTAGGCATAGCAATGCCTAAATAATAAACTGACTTCATTTTCCAAGTGTCTTTTATTTCATTTTGAACCCTGTGTGGTGGGATTTCACTTAAAGCTCTTCATTAATTGAACTTCATCATCAGTAGTTCTGGAAGTCAAACATGCTGACTAGTCATAGTCTTGTCCTGTGGCAGAGACTGAATTATGCATAATTTGTATGTAATGTGACTCTCTTTTTCCTCTAGTTTTTTTTGATTTCAAAGATCAGAATTGTTAATGTGCCATCTGGGTCTCTTGTAGAATGTTGAGTGCAGTGTTTACAAGAAATTAGATTACCATAGGCATTTATTTGGGAAATATTTTGGATTTATTAAAATTCTGTTTTTAATTGATGATCTTTTCATTTCCATATGGTTTCAACAAAACCAGCCTCTACATGGGAGATTGAAATATGCAAGAAATACTACATTCTAAACTCTTTCCTTCCAACAGAAAATACTTTTTTTTTCTTTAGGTGTTAGAACTTGCCATCTTAAAGAATAGTTTAAAGTACTTTAGATCTCATTATGTTATCTAATGCTGTGATGCCATGGAAATAATATTAGTGTCTTTATTCCTACATTGTCTCTAGCTTTCACATTTTCATCTGGTTAACAGCAGTGCTTGTATTGTTGCACAGGTCTGGAGGGGAGATGAGAGAACAGATAAGCATTTCCACCATTATGTTTCTTAATCTGCTCCAAATCAAAAATTAATTGGTATTGTAGAATGAGTCAGTTCTAGCTGTAGTATCACTGTCCTTATTTAGAAAGTAGACATTAGTAGTTGCCTTTTCAGAAATGCTATGTTATTAAGCAACGTGTCTTCTTTTCCTTTAAATGCCTCATTAGATTCTTTATGCTCCTAATATCTTCTGCAAATCCATTTCTGCATTCTAATTTGAAGCATGTGAACTGATGAGATGTTAGTTAGAAATCCTAATTTTCCTCAGGGTTGCAAGGAAGTACTTTAGGAAATTGGCTCAATGTCTTACAGATACTAAAGGAAAAAGCATGGGCATTTTCTCTGCAGTTTTTTTAACTGGCATTATTCTGCTGTATAAAAGAACCAACTGGATTTCATCATAAGTTACTAGAAAAGTCAATACCAGAACTTCTGTGGCTTCAAATTATTCAGTGTTGATAAATAAGAATTGGATTGTGGTATATTATGCATGTAGAATTTTCCCTTAAAGTTGTCCATTCTTTAGATATTTAGGAGAGATTAGGAGAGATTTAAGAATATGGGGGGACCACATGACATGACTCAAGGGAAACCTTGATCATATTGCTTTGATCCAGGGCTCAGTAATTCTTGAGAAAAATGTGCTAGCACCAGTTGGCCATTCTGTGTCATCCTGTTGCAAAGCCACCTTCATCCTGTAGCTTGCTTCATGTGTAGGTCAGTGACAGTGTTAGGTTGTACCTCACAGCATAGGTGTTACTGTTGCAGTTTATTCACAACAAAAGATCAGTGTGAGCATTGATTTTTGCAAGTAGTCTTTTGATTTGTTTTGCCTCCTTTTTTTTTAACTGAGCATGCAGATGAGAAGGCCATGTCTTGGTGCTGCTCCATGCTAAGAAATGACACAACAGAACTGTGCTTCTTGGCAGGCAGTGGTGTTAGCTAGGTACTTGTGGCACTAATTCCCCTAGAATTGATTCCTCTTTGTAGCTGTTAATGCTGTCTGTTGTGGTGGGTATTTATGCTGGAGAAGTTGGCAAAGAGGCACCCTTTGAATGCCACATTTTTGTTGTTACTGGGAAGTTGGGAGAAGATAAAATTTGCACTTTCCTAGACTTCTGAATAACAGATTTGATTTGAATGGCACTTGAATGCCACTGTATACTGACTAACATCTTCAGCTCCTTGGTGTGGAGGTCCATGCATAGAGGAGTCTTCAAATATGGCATCTGAACTGGGAGTCTTCAAAGCTATTTTGAGGTGGTTGCTTTGCCTTCAAAAATAAGCATAGGAAGAGCCAAGTGTATCAGAAAGAATCCCTCTATTCAAACACGTTTCTACCTTTCATTCTCCATCTGACCCTTGAAGTCCAGAGGTTGCAGGCTCAAACCTTTGCACATTAAGATGTTCAATACAAACAATATCCCATGGTAGTAACCACCACGTAACCAAAATGGTGCCTGATGAAGACTGTCTGTTGATTTTGTCATATGACCTGCAAATCCTAAGACAGTGCACCAAGCCTGGAGGGACTTTTAGCTCTTTCTCAAACTCCTGTTTATCTCATCTGTGAAGCTTTAAGACAGTTTGGGAGATAAGCTTGCCAGAACTGTGTACCAAAGTGAAAAGATGTGGGCAGCAGAAGTAAAGCTTTAGTGACCAAACAGTCAGGAGAGAGCTCATATGAGCCCTTGTGGAGCACTGAAGAACACAGAAGACTTTTAAGTGCTGACAAACCTCAGTATTTACTGACTTGTGCCACCAGTGCAGAAGTATGGCTCCCACTGCTGCTTTGGAGCTTGTTCTATTGAAGGAAGAGTTTAAAATAAATAAACAAAACCCCCAAACCCATCAAAACCCAACCTCTCCCCAGTTTTTAATGTAATCTCTTTTGGCGTTCAATAAGGTTGTCAGTAGTTCACTGGTTACTAGTTGCTTCTAACTGTGAGATGCTATTGCAGTCCTTTTGGAGTTTAAAGTTGTCCTTTCCTAAAGGTTCCAAAAAAATACTCTGTAGAGTGTAGGACCCTGCTTGAGTGGCATCTTATTGCCAGGAAAATAAGATACAGAGTCACAAATGTACCGTTTCTCTGAGCACTTTTGGAACCTCTTGTACAGAATTTATATCTTGAATACTGAGATTTTTTGGTCTCAGCACCAAGCATTGCCCTGTAAACTTTTGATTGTTGCATTAGTAAGACTAACCTCTTGCCCTTGGTTTTTTTTTTTTTTGACTATGATGATCAAATGTCTTTAATATATTTGCTCCTTACTCCGCGTTTGAATATTTTAAATTGAATCAGGGTGTTAGTTGCTGTGCAAGCGAAGTTGATAAGGCCACCATTTATTAGGGTTGCTGTGAATCTTCCTGTGTAAACTTCTGATTGTTGCATTAGTAAGACTAACCTGTTGCCCTTGGGGTTTTTTTTGACTATGATGATCAAATGTGTTTAATATATTTGCTCCTTACTCTGCATTTGAATATTTTAAATTGAATCAGGATGTTAGTTGCTGTGCAAGCGAAGTTGATAAGGCCCCCATTTATTAGGGTTACTGTGAATCTTCCTGATCTTGTAGAAGATGTCAATTCATTGACTTATTCTTCATCCTGACACGTGAAGTACTGGTTTTGTGACACAGGGAAGTTGGACGCTCGTGGATGGCATGATGCTGTTAGATAAGAGTCCATGCTTGTGCACTTGCCTCAGGATCAGGCCTATGTAATTTGTGAGAACTGAGTTATGGCTGTGCTGCTTCTTCAAACTCTAGCCTGGGAGTGGAAATGAACATGTCAGAGTTCAATCTGAAGTGGGCTTTAGTCCATGTGGCTGTTGCAATAAGCTCAGAAATATAAGTAGTGAAAAAAAAATCAAAATACAGATGAGTAATTCTGAACACAAAGGTGGTGGTGGAACAGGACAGCAGTTTGCTTTGCATGTGTATGGTTTTCTTGTTTTGTTTTTTGTTTACACACCTGGAGAGCTGGTCTGTCTGTGGGTCAGTTCCTTCTGCAAAAAGGGCACTTACTCCTGCTTTTGGACTACAAAACTGAAACCCTGGAGGTACATAAACTAGCTTAAAATCCACTCAAGGAAAGTAACCATTCTAGCTCAAATATTTCCAGTTGTTGTTTGTTTCACATTAGGTGAGTTTTAGCTGCAGGAAATAAGTAGTAGGCTTAGTCTTCATATTTTATTTTTTTTTTAATTATTGCAATCTCATTGCTTGGGTATATAAATTACTTAAGAGTAGAGTGGAAAAACCATATAGGTAGACCTGATGCTAACTTCTCTGACATCTTAGTTACTTGTCAGACTGTTAAAGTATGCTATTTAATATATAACAGTATAGGTGGAAATTAGTAAGAGACTCAACATGATTTTTTTGCTTTGTTTTCTGTAAAAGTGTTGAGGAACCTTTTGCTGAAGATATCTTAGGAAATATGCCTGAAGAAATTTTGCATAATAGGGTTAAGTATGTGCCGTGTGTTTTAAACAAATTCTTTTAGAAGTTTGGTTTAGACCTTGGAAGTTGATGAGAATTAGATGAAGAAAAATTCATACTTTTCTGTAGAACAAGTCTGGGTTGAATTGTAAGCTTCCAAACAGCTTTAAAAGCTTGGTATTCTGGGAGCATTTTAGAAAGTAACTGTTGGTAAAAGTTTAGCCATAGCATTTTTGATTTTTGAGACTTATACAATTCACTCTTATACAACATGTTTTTTAATTTTAAAATTGTTTCTAGGAGTCAGACAATCATGCAGAATCCTAGAACCTTAACACAGTTTTTGTCACAGTTTTTGAAGTTTGAATTTCTTACTTTTCGCAGATATTTTTGTAGGTGTTTGTTTCTGATGTTATTGTTTAGAAGATACTTTCTTTGGGTATTTAGCTAAGAGCAAAGGCAAACAAGAAGGATTCTGAGTTTGTTGCCTCTAAAAGTCAGAGTTGTCCCTGTCTTTTCTTAAAATCTATGTGTGTTCCTTTTGGACAAAGAGCTAATTTTATGTCCTTTATTTTTTTGGCCTTTTTTTAAGGACATAGCACTATCCATTTGTGAACTATGTTCACTTGATTCGTGTCAAAATCATATTGGGGCGCCATGGTGAGGGGTGGTCTTGTTGGTTTTGTATAGCTACGGGCCTGGAGAAAAAGCAAGGTGATTAATTTTGTTTCCTTGTTGCCATTTGGTGTGCTGTTTTGGCTGGCTTGCATTGAATCTGCTAACGGCCACTTAATGTTAAACGAAGGGGAGTTTGTGGAGCATGCGTGGAGCCTGAAGTAATTAACACCAGGCGCCAAGGGGGATTATTGACTGCATTCCACAACCACCAGGTGGGAGCGAAGACGACCCCAAAAGGTGAAAAGAACATACTGCAAAGAAGACCTATTTTTTTTTGGAATTAATTTACATGGACCCACCTGTTAATGAATATGTATGAACCGGGAGAATAAAAGCCGAAGACAGGGATTGTATGGTGTGTGCGTCTTGGTTGAGCAGAGACTCCCGGTGCACCCAGTGCTGTTTGCTTGCCTTTTGTTAATTTAATAAATACTAAATTTAATTGGAATCTGGTTTTATGCTAAATTATTTCTCACAACCTGAAAAATGGACTATAATATTTGTTATCCATAAAGTAAATATTTTGGTTTAGTTTCTGTGATAGGACTTAGAGTTGTTTTTTTCCAATCAGGGGAAGGATTGCTGCTTTTAATTGCTGAAGTATCTTGCATATATAAATAAATCCTCTATGTATAATTTCAAATAGATTTTTTTTTTCTTTTTTAGGTTAAAAATATTGGAGATTACTTTAAACATCACCTGCTGCAGTCGAGGCACAGGGGTGCGTTTGAATTGGCATACGCTGGCTTTGTGCAACTTACAGAAACACTTTCCAGGTAGAGGATGGGGAACTTACTGTGGTTTTAATTAATCCTTTTACCAAGCTGTGGCACCAGGCCTGAAACTGGCTGTCTGAGCAGATCCTTCATTTCCTGTGGATTTTATTCAAGTTTGGTGTAGGCATGATTATGATATTAGACACATGAGATCTGTGACTTGGACTGAGAGGCTTTACGGTTAGAGATGGAGGTTAGGCATTGAAAAACTATACAGACATTTAATGCTTGTTGCATTTTTCTTCATATCTGTCTCAAAAGCTCTTGGGAAACGTAGGAGGGTGGAATTCTTGCCCCCACTCCTTTTTCCCAGCCCTTTATGAAAATGAATGCCAGATTTTTTGGTTCATCCAGGATCTTTTCCTGGAAACTTTAAGTACTTGTCACAGAGTTGTGTATCCTGACATTTGGAAGTGCATCACAAGATGTGATATGCAATCTTTTACATTTTTTTTTTCTTTTCCCCTTGTAACTTTATTCTTTCCTAGAAGAACTAAATGAACAGAATTGTCCTGAGGTCTGGGCAAGAGCTCTGGAATTTCCATTACATGCTTAGTTACCCATTTCACGTATTGGTAATATTTCTTTGTGATATATAGTGATTATATCATATCCAGTTTTCAATAAGATAAATCAAAATCCCTGCTGATTTTGTGGGTTCTGGCATGCATTTTTTTTAGCATAGTTTTTGGAAAGACCAGTCAAATTTTCCAGTTGAAGCATATGAGTTTTCATACCAATGCCAGATTAAGTAACCAGTGTTCCCCTTGTGCCCCAGGTGGGCCAGTCTGAGGCACTGACCTGTTTCTTGTTTATTTTGAGGGGGTGTGGAGGAAGAAAGAAGGGATAGTTTTGTTTAGGTTTTCTAATGATGGAAATAAATCTGGTGATGGAAACAACTTTGGTCTCTTAGTACAGACCAGATGCTCGTGTGACCCCTCAGAGTTTGCACAACAGAACTGAGGGGTTGATTTCTGGTACAGGCTGTCAGTCAGGTGGCTGCACATAGGTACCAGCAGTGCTACAGAAGTTGGTATTTGACACACTGTAGGCCCCATTCTGTGTGCCCCTGAGATGTTTAACTATAAGCCAGGGATCTGTGGGTGATATATCTGTAGAAGGTGCATTGTTTCCTTTTGTGTGCTTGCAGTTTGAGGTGTTTTAAGTTGGCCTGGGTAGTTTGTTGGATGCTTATACAACCTTACTTGACACTTCATAATTTACTTCAAAAGGAAGAAAAGAAACTGCTGTATGATACTGTTCTTGCTTATCTTCTTGCCTGTCTATATAAATTACATACACTTGTTTAAGTGTTGTGTTCTTTTTCTGTACTACGAAAACTTGGTTCAGGAAGTGGTGAGGTGAGGTAAGAGATGATTGCCTGGTGGGACCTTTGGTGATGGCTTCTTATTAACTTCCCTGCTGGGTTAGATCTTTTGTTTTCAGTGCCACACAGCTCCTACAGTGAGTGAGAAAAATCTTGCCAAGATGAGTGACTGGTGACATACTATCATGGACAGCATTTGAGGTGGTCCTGCTTATCTGGGTGACTTTCTAGAGAAGTGGTTATGTTGTCACATCAATTAATGCATCTAATTTGAATGGGCTACAGAGCACACCTTTTATACTTATGATTTTTCCAAGTCAAATACAAAACGTTCTGCTGCCTGCTGCATACTTCTGGCTACTGTTTGTAGGTACTTTAGCACATTGTGCACTCATTCATTCAGTCTCCTGAATTGGATGTTGGACATGCAATAGTGTGGGTCGGTTTATTAATTTTTTTTGTGTGTGTTTTGTTTGGTTTTTTTTTGTTTTGGTTTTGGTTTTTTGTTTTAAATGGGGGGGAAAAAAAAAAAGCAATCCCCTAAATGGGAAAAAAAGCAATCCCCACCTCAACATGAAAATCCTCCGTTCTTTTCAATGCTTCTCTTGCAGACCTCAATCCCCACCCCAACATGAAAATCCTCCATTCTTTTCAATGCTTCTCTTGCAGACCTCTGACATCATAACTTAAGGCTTTTTGTATCATTATGTAAACTTAGTTCTGCATGTGAAACTTTATTTTTTAAAGGCAGAAATAAGTTCAGATAACAAAACATTAGCAATTTAAGGCATGGGTTTTCTTTCAAGATAGACAGTGACAGATTAAAATGTTTGTTCCCAATAGGTAGTATTTCCATGTCAGGCACCATTTCTTTGCTGATTAAATTAATACAGTAATCTAAATAAAATAAGCTGTTTACAGTGTAGAATACATAGAAACAAGTGCTGAATATTGAAGGATGTTATCTTGAGGTATGTTGGATGTGAATATAAACATGTGTTGATGTAAAAAAATTCAATGGCTAAGTTCTACAAACTACTTCAGTTTCAAAGGATTTATTCCTCCTATTGTATTGAAGGAACCTTGGGCATCAAAGTCATACTGTTGGGGAGGAGATCTTATACTACCACCAGCCTTTTTGAGGGGAGAAAGGGGATAATCCAAACGGCCACACCAGTCTGATCTCAGTCAATACATAAGACTGTCTAGAACAAACTTTGTAGGAAAGGCAAACTAAAAAGCAGGAAATACTGGAAAACATGTAAAATGTTCTGTCTGTTTATAGTGGACTATCTACACAGCAGGCTAGCTGTTTTCCTTTGATTTTTTTCAGTTTTTAAATGTCTTTTAAAAGCTGAGGCAAATAGAGTAGAACAGATCTACCCAGACTTCAAAGAAGTTCCTGGTATGTTTGTTCCTTCTCTCTTTTTTCTGCCATTGTATTTAGTGGAGTACAATCCACTTAAGAGCAGCTCTATATTGTGTTGTAAAAGGAAGAGCCAAGCTCAAGAGAACTCTGCTTCTCTGGAATTTATTAAAACATTAAGTGGTATATATGTATCATTAAAAAAAAAAAAAAAGAAGTACTTATATTTAAGTCATTTTCCTCTTCTGAATTAACAGTTCTCCAAAACCAATTTTTTGATGATGCATGCTGCTTAGTTGCTTATATTTAAGTCATTTTCTTCTTCTGAATTAACAGTTCTCCAAAACGAATTTTTTGATGATGCATGCTGCTTAGTATTTTTAAAGTTAAGGTATTTCAAGCAGAGCAAGTATTCCATTTGGAAAAGCCCTTTTACAAGAACCAGAGAGCAGCTCTGTAGAAATACTGTTGTTTCTGTGAAAGAAGATATTTGGCAGTAAATATGGATCTCGAGGCTGATATTTGTTTTCAAAATGAAGGAGAAAGGAAACTGATACCATAATAGCCAATAACTCTGTGGTTTGATACTCCTGGGTGACAAAGGAGTGTGTTGGGACTCTTCTCCACAGTGGGTGAGTTAAGTCTCTTGGTGAATCTGGTCGCTCTGCAGGTCTGTGTAGTGTCCCAGAATCTCTCCATTGACCCTGCTGCAGCTGAGGGGCTTCATTCAGCAGGTACACCCAAACTGGCCCACCTCTCTCCATAGCTGCCAGGCTCACAGACAGTCTTGAAGCATGTGTTCCAGCATCTATTTTAATTTACTTCTGCATCCACAGATACTGGAGGAGAAAGCCTTTGTCTGGGGCAGTTTATAGCAACCTGCAGCTTAAACGTGATATCTTGTTGAACAGAATTGAATTTCAGATCTAGAGAAGCATCCTTGAGTCTTTAATTCATTCCTTCTCTAAGACCCAGTGAAAAATCTGTCACCAAGACTGCCAGATCCCTTTCTCATACTTCTAGGAAAAATTCCAGTTGAACAAAGACCTTCACGTTTATAGCCAAACATTTCCTTTAAACTACATGCTGGGTTACTTACCATCTGAGCTTGCTTGTAGCTATACAACCCTTAAATATCAGTCTTCATAGAACCTGGAGCAGACTTCTTTGTAGACAGGCCTGTCTGAGTTAGTGGTGAAAGAAAAATCTTTCCTCTGCAGAGCTTTCTTATGAACCTGATTAAATGTGATCTCTGTCTTGCCATTTGGATGTAAATTGCTGAGCCTGCTCTAAGTGTGCGAGTTGCCATTCTGCCTTTTCCCTGTTCATATTCCTTCTGGGTGTGTAATGCTCTCTTCGTCGTGCCTGCTTAATGTTGTTTGCAGCTGGACATTCAGTTACAAAACAAGCAACCTTCATGTCAATGAAATAAGCAATGGAGTTTAAATATTTTCCTGTCATTTCCTGAGAAATTACAAGTCCTCATTCGGTCCGATAACGTGGTTAGGGAAGTACGTGGAGGCATCTGGGCATCTGTTTTAAACTTGACTCTCCTGAAATCCTAATAAATATCCAAACAATTAATCTGTTCCAAATGGTATTCTGCCTCTTTTGCTTTTATTTAGTGAAGTTTCTCTGAGAGATCAAGTAGAATAAAAAGATTTCTGGAAATCTCAAAATCATAGTGTCGCATGGCTGTGGCTGTAGTGGTCTGCTTTGCTAAAGCTGCAGGATGCAAGGGGAAAGTTTGGGGAGAGTTAGGTCATATAGGTGTTTATTTAGGAGTAATGCATTCTGAACATTTAAAAATCATCTAATTAGAGCTTGAATTAGACTCTGAACACAATTTTATATATATGCAACAAGTTAGGACTGTATTGAATGGTTTTCTGGAAGAATGTAATGGTAAACCCCCTGCTTTGATATCACAAATGTTTCATCCAGTACCAGTGGAAATTATTCAGCTATATCTAGTCAGTGCCTGATCTTCTGTAATATTTCTGTTGAAGAACTGTGAGTAGGCTGACCTAATCCTTAGCAGTAAACACTGCTTATGACTTGTTGCTCTGAAATGACTGTTACTCTTTGCTTTGCCAGGCCCCTATGCTCTGCTAGCAAGACTTCTTGTAAAATTTACAAGTCATTGACAGGCTTTCTAGTGAAATGTACTGGAATCGTCACTAACTTTCCAGCAAAAATGTAATCACAGATGTGAAGGAAAGAATCCTAAAATGGAGAGGAAAACAAAGTGTGTGTGACGGGAAACTGTTCTTACGTCTTGTGATGCTTGTAGGGTTGGGAAGTACACTATGCAGTGAAGAACAAGATACAGTGTTAAAGCACTGCTCAGCTTGAAGACATGTTAATTTTAAACTCTCTTCATATTTTCCCCCCCATTTATTTTCCAGCTTGGTGAAAGAGTGGTAGAGGTAATCATATTGCCTCTGAAATTTTGAGGCCATCCAGAGTTTTCTCTGTTCGCTTTACTGTTACAGAAACTTTACCATAGCACCCTTCCCAATGCACCTATATTATTTGAAAATTTTGCTTTATTTAGAGCAGATATTGTGAAAAGGAGGATGCAAGTGAAAGGACTTGGTCATTTCGGAGGGGTTGTTCTTAAAAGCAGACATTTTCTAGAGTAACTTGAATATTACATTGAATAGTAATGTGTTTTTGAGACTAGACTTTCGTTTCCTTATTTTTCTGAGAAGTGCCAGGGGCAGTATGAAGACCAGCTTTATAAATAGCAAGAATCACATTATTGACATGAAAAATAATAATACTACAGGTCTATTGGGAGAGAAAAAATGGTGAAAGAAAGCCTCCTTTTCCCCAGATAGAGACTGATTAGAAACACTAGACTTCTGGATATACCCACGTCAAAAATGTTTCTGGTCGTGTGAAGTTTATGCCACAAACCACTGACATCCAGGAAGGCCAAATCCAAGATCAACCCTTTGTTCTTAACACACCATTAATTTTGGATAGGAGAAAATGCAGCAATATGAGCTAGGGAAGGGGCTATAGCTTTAACATGGGATTGCCAGGCTTTTTTGTACTTGGTGATTGTGACCACAGAAAGAGTTTTAGGCATGTATGAAATTGTTATTAACAGCAGACAAAGAGAAATTTGTAGAAGAACAGTTGCTGTACTTCATCTTAAGTAATTTCTGTATCACATTACTGTGTTATATTTTAATTATCGACACTCTGTTTGATCTGGTAAAAACAATTACTGTTTCATCCTGGAAAATGACATTTGAGCTTGAAACCACCATCTTTACATAGATACATTATTCTTAAAATTTAGGGCCACCTGCTTCTTAAGGCAATACTCTTCTTGCCAGACCATAAGGAGATGGAGCTGCCAAATGTAAGGGAGTAGACATCTCCATTGCAAAGTCAATAGTCTCTAATGTTTCTAACTTTAAAGCAAAAACTCCTTCACCTTTAAAAGTCAGTGGGTGACTGAACAAGGTGGAATTACTTGTGGCAAGATCAAAGCAATACATTTTTAAGCGAGTCTGCAGTTTATTGGATTTCAGTGTATTTCTCCTCTTTCTACTACTACTGAAAGGGGAAAAACCCTTCAGTTTGCTTAAGCATAAATTATTCAGTATGCTATGTAACAACTTTTAAGTATTTCCTTAATGATTTACTTTGTATTCTTCTGCACCACAGCAGATGTAGATCTTGTGAGACGGTTAATACTAAGATAACATAATAAAGAGAGAGGAACCCTGTTCTTCTTCCCATGACTGATCTAAGATATTTAAAGTCTGCTTAGCTAGGGAGGTAAGACCAGCTGCAGACATGATTGAGAGGTAGCTTTTGCAGGACATGTTGATGTGGATGAAGAGAACTGTGAACTAAGAGTCTAGCTGCAGAGACCCACAGAGGAGATCCATAAGCGATTTTGTGTGGTCTCAGCCCTGGAATTGTGTGTCCTCCTTTTGTGTACCCAAAAGCAAGCAAAGGAGCATGTCCTGAAAATTAGGAGTGGAAGCTAATTATCAGCAACAGAGAGAGTAATGTCAAAGAAATGAGGACTCACTGTTGGTTTCCAAATTCATTTGATTGCTTCTGTCACTTGCTTGGGGAAAGAAGTGCCCCTTTTTTATGCTGTGATATGAGGTGACATACCCCTTGTGAAAGCCACATTTCTCTTGCTTTCCAGACTGGTGGTTTGCATGTTGGCTGCTATTTGGAAGAGCTGCTGCCTTTAAATTAAAAGAAGGCCTGGCAGCAGTGTAGGAAACCTGTGGTGAGAATCCTAAGGGAATTACTGAAGAGTAAGAAGTCTGCTCTGTTTTCTGCTGACCTGTCTGGCCCTTCCTACCATTTCTATTTTCTGCATTACTCATTTTCTCTTTATTTTGTAAAGAAGAAAAGGAAGATTTTGCTACAGATTAAAGCCTTGTTTGTTGTTCAGTGTCAGGTTTTTAGTCTACTTAAATTCTTGCTTTAGTAAGAGGATAGTAATAAAGGTGAGAGTAGATGCAGAACTTCCATTAGATTTTGCTTTTCACCTCAGTAACTGCTGCTTTTTAGCTTTTCTTTTAAATTATTTATTTCAGTCACTTAGGTAGAAAACTTGATTGTAGTCTTGCTGTAAGGTCTCACTACTTAATCATGAATTTAATTATAGTTTATATTTTTAGGTAAGACAAGTCCTGCATGGTTGAGATAATTGCCATTGTATTGCTCAGAGTGATTAATTCTTCTACTCTGAATCACGTGTGAAACCAGTGTGATGGGTTTTAATAACAATGTCCTGTTAATAGAAATTTTTGTAACAATGAATGATCATTTTGGAACGTTGGCATGAGATTAATGAGCTGGTCTTGCATACTGAATATGGTACATTTAATTGAACTGATCAGCAGGAGCAATTGAAGTAAATTGAGTTCTTGTCCTTGGAAATCCTTTGCTTTCAGGCCCTGCTGAGTTTAACTGCAGAGGAGGAGTATTTGATGATAGGTGAGCAGTTTAGGTGCTTTACATAAAGTTTGACTGGCATAGTATTTTAAAAAGAGCAGTATGTCTTTTTAATTTCTTCTACTACTCTGAGGTTTGCAGGGGTATTTACATAATATGTACTTACTGAGAGGGGCTTCAGTTTTGTCTTGCATGGCTATAAACATAATTATGTTAGTTAAGGTCAGGGTCAGTAGCATCGAATACTGTGTGACAATAAAGATAGGAACTGGTGAAGTGTCACATCCTACACAGTGACTGATGTGCATGTGTCTTTGTTTTCTTCTCCACAACACGTTAATAGTCCTTGGCAGACAGTTTTGGTGCTGAAGCATGGAATCCTGTTTTCTGTGCAGTGAAACATCTTTTCCTAGGGGCACTTAATAAGTAGGGTTAATATAATTTACACAGACATTGGAAAAATGTGCAATTCCTTTTTTAATCTCTATCTTCTTTAAAACTCTGTGTATGTGCTTGGAGATGTTCGTGCATCGTGAGAAACTTCTCAAAATCACTAAATGCATTCTTTGGCTCTGTCCTGATTTTCTGCCTATTTTTTCCCTGTAGGTGTAACAGGGAGGGTCTGCACAGGATGCCAGAGCAGTGGCTGAGCTGTGTTTTAGAAGAAATCAGATCTTGTGATCCTTCATCTACACTGTGTGCAACCAGACGCAGCGCGGGAATTCCCTTCTACATACAGGTACCAACTAACAGTGTTATTTCTCACTTAATGGTGTTTTTCATGTCCTTTCTGGGGAATACACTTATTTATCTATTTATTTTTCTTCAACCCTTTCTGGTCAAACAGTTCCTTCTATTTATACAGACTTCCATTGCCTTTGTGTAACCAGGATGTCACGTGTAATTAAGCCATGTTTGGTACTGTTTAGTGCTGCAGTTCTATTGACTTTAGAGTTTTTTTGGTTTGAGGGAGATTGAAATAGCTTTTCAAAAGAGTGGACTTAGGCACTCTGTGGCCACTGTAATAATCCTGGCAAATTGTTAATTTAATTCACAGATTAAGTGAGGCTCGGTTAACCATGTAACCCTGAGCTTCTTGCATGCAAAGTGGGAGGGTGGTGAAGTGTGAACAGATCATCAGAGAATTGTAAAATGGTGGCCTAGAAAATACTACGAAGAACTTGGGAAGTCTACTCAAGAACAGTGAAGCAGGATGAAGGTATACAGTCACACAGAACCATAGAATCACCATGGTTGGAAAGGACCTCCTGGATCACCAAGTCCAACCCTCCAACATTTCCCTAACCACTAGACCATAGTCCCAAGTGCCGCATCCGCTTGTTTTTTGAACACCTCCAGGGAGGATGACTCCACAACCTCCCTGGGCAGCCTGTTCCAATGCTGCATCACTCTTTCAGTACCCCCCCACCCTCCCTGGGCAGCCTGTTCCAGTGTCTGACCACTCTCCCAGTGAAGAAATTCTTCCTAATATCCAATCGAAACCTCCCCTGACGCAACTTGAGGCCATTTCGCCTCATCCTGTTGTCAGTTATTTGGGAGTAGAGACCAACACCAGCCTCACTACAACTTCCTAGAGAACAATAAGGTCTCCTCTCAGTCTTGCCTTCTCTAGGCTAAACAACCCCAGTTCCCTCAGGCTGTCCTCATAAGACATGTCTTCCAGCTCTCTCACCAGCCTCGCTGCCCTTCTCTGGACCTGTTCCAGCACCTCCATGTCCTTCTTATGCAGTGCTGCCCAAAACTGGGCACAGCACTCAAGGTGTGGTGTCACCAGTGTCAAGTACAGGGACAGGATCATCTTGTCTTCTCTAGGCTAAACAACCCCAGTTCCCTCAGGCTGTCCTCATAAGACATGTCTTCCAGCTCTCTCACCAGCCTCGCTGCCCTTCTCTGGACCTGTTCCAGCACCTCCATGTCCTTCTTATGCAGTGCTGCCCAAAACTGGGCACAGCACTCAAGGTGTGGTGTCACCAGTGTCAAGTACAGGGACAGGATCACCTCCCTGCTCCTGCTGGTCACACCATTTTTGATACAGCCCAGGTTGCCATTGGCCTTCTTGGCCACCTGGGCACACTGCTGGCTCATGTTCAGCCGGCTGTCCACCAGCACCCCCAGGTCCTTTTCCACCAGGCAGCTTTCCAGCCACTCCTCCCCAGGCCTGTAGCGTTTTGGGGTGGTTGTGACCCAAGGGCAGGACCTGGCAACATGAATTGGTATTGACGGAGTCTTGAGTGCAGTGACTGAGTAGGTTGCTGAAGACTTGTATCCATGAGCATGGGGCCATATTCCTGCAGTCTTCCTGCTCCCAGAGTTACCATCAGCTCCACACGTCCCAGCCTCCAGCTTCTGCCAAGCTCAGAACTGGTGGCTGATTGGCTGGCTGGCAGTGTTCTGTCTCTGCTCAAGGTACCACCTCCTGCTGGGTGCCTCGAAGTAGCAGGCAGCAGCTTATCTGCATCCTTGTGGTGTCAGTCCCTGCAGAGTTGGTCCTGCACACTACATGTAACCTGTTTGTGTTCCTTTGCTCCTTGAAGTGCCCATGATCTCTTTCCCCTAAATTAACCTCTCTCATTTTAATTTTTCAACCATTTTTTTTTCAGACAGGAGTCCAAGATTAACTGCACAATTTTGTAACGTTCTCCATTTGCTGAAGTATAGTCTCAAGAACGTTCCAAAAATCTGAGGGACTGCTGGGAGCAAGCTTTCCCTGCCAGAATAATTCATCTTGCTTGTTTTCCACTCTGAGTTTGCCCTGAGAAAGTTGAGGCAGCCTGCTTCTGTCTGACCTCTCATATGTCAGTCACAGCCTGCTCCTGGCTCTGCTAGATCTGTGCATGCTAGGCAGGAGAGATCAGAGGCAGGGCAGTGGTTTTAGAGACATTTTTGCTTTTCAGTTTCAGCAGTTACAGATCTTCTCCTTTTATATCTTAAGTTGTCTGCAAAATTCATTTGGTGTTCTCACATCTTCTGGTTTCACCATTCATACCACTGAGTCTGAATCCAGTGGACATTAGCTAGAGTTATTCCTGAGAATGTGAAAAAACAAACGTGTTTGAATCAATTATTTTTGTGTAAAAAGTTACATTGTCTTATGTAAGGACTAGGTGGACTCAAAAATATCCCACAGCAGAAGACCTGTGTGTAGTCTGCAGTTGGCTTGCATTACTGAGTCCATATGGCAAGGCTTGTGCTGTGCCATTGCTCTGAATAAACAGATCAGGTGCTTTTATTTTGGTAGCTCTGGAAGAATATGAAGTTAGTCTAGTCAATTAATGAGAAGGTTTGAAATGAACATTTGAATTAGTCTGAAATAATCTATTTTCAATTTGTAATTTTATTGTGAAGAGAGGTGGTAGTGTTCTGTGACAGTAGTTCTCAGTGTGCCTGTAGCACTCAGTAAAATGGATTAAGCCTTAAATAGCATATTGCATTTAGATAATAAAAATACAAGTCATAATGCATATCCTAACGATACCATAATAAGGTTATTTTATTAATGCATAAAATTGAGACTCAGTGTGGTCTCCTTGCCATCTGCTTCCTGTGACATTTATTTTTTGTTTTACTAAAACACATCTGTTTTAATAATAATACGTAATTTTTAAGGTTATGAGCATTTAAAATGACCTGTTTAACATTGTACTATTAGGGAATAATATTTTTGAGGTGCAGTGCCAATTAGTGGGTGAGGAAATAGTTGGGAAAATACTAGTTACAGCTTCAATGTATTTAGGGTATGAAATTTTAGTCTTCAGTTTGTTCTCTATTTTATACTTCATTAATACTTTTTTTTTTAACCTCCCCTTTCTGTTTCTCCCATTACTAAAGGTTCTGATAAACTGGCAGTGACTACTTCTGGGTTTCTGCCTAACCTCTATAATTCATTTGGCTTGCAGCTGATCCATTTGGTCATTCTTATGTGATGTCAAGTACTATTAAATATCTTGTTTGAACTGATGCTGAACAGATTCTGAGCCCCAAAACACAAATGGATAATAATTTTTAATTTGAAAGAAGCGATCTGCGATTATCCATTTGTACTAAGTGGGACAAATGCAACAAGACCTACTAGACAGACTGTTTTAACTCCAGTCCTGAATTTCAGAGGACTAAATTTAGGGTGTTTTCATCTCAGCTGGAATGTCCTACCCATAGAACTACTACTTGGAGATGGATGTGTCTTCTCTTTTAAAAATACTCTACTTGTTTTATCTCATTTTGCAAACTAGGATTTATTCTTTGGCCATCCCATGTTGTCTTAAATATGTATGTTATTAAAGTTAAAAAATATCCATACTAGGAAATGTAAGTATGTGTAATGTGGCAGATAATTCTGCTGTAATAAATACTAGGATTTTTTTGGTGTCTGTGATAAATTGTTACATACAAGCAGATTTTCTTAGGCAGATGGACAGTGTGTGAGCTAAGTTTTCATACTGAAACATTGAATTCTAAGAGGCTTTGAACAAAACTAAGTAAAAACTGAATATTTTGCAAATTTTTCTTCAGTGCTTGCGTATGGTCAGAAGCTAGGTTGTAATATGGTAAATATAGGAGCTTGGAGCAGAACTGATAGTAAAAAGAAAATGGCTAGAAACACCTGATATTGTTTCTCTTTATTTTTCTTTTAACTTTCTGTAGGCTTTGTTAGCTTCAGAACCAAAGAACAAAACAGATTTGCTGAAAATGACAATGAAAGAATTGTTGACTTTGGCTGCACCTTTGAATGACTCATCAAGTGTAATTCCACAGGTAAAATGCAGCCTCTCATCAGAAGGGAAATGTCAAAAGAATGTTTGTGTTACTTCAGTTAAAGATACTTCTGTGTGTTTGTAATGAGGATATTTTAATTATCTATAGCTAGGCTTTAAAATTGTGTGTGTGCATGTAGGGAGTTTAGGAACTCGCTGGACTTTGCAAGTGCTTAAGATACTACAATATTGATTTGGCATAATTTCTTTAGTATAGCAAATAGATCCATATTCATTTTGAATTTATATGATATTTACTGACTGTACTGTATTTCTAAACAAACAGAACAGTTTCCTCTTTACAAGGAAATGAACAAGCAAGCATTTGTTTACATTTAAAGTAAATGCCTTGCATAAATCATGTTGCATGCAGGAAAACACTACATGAGAAGTGATTTTATGCATGCTTAGTAGCTGCTGAAACTTAAATATATACACTTGGAATGCATAAAAACTTTATTTTCAAGTCAAGATCTTTCTCTTCAGTATGTTGTTACCAAATACTTAATCTTTCTGTTTGTAAGTTGAAGCCATAATTTGTTGACAATACATAGAAGTGTGTTTTAATGGCACTGCCAGATTTTCTGCTGGTATAAATTTATGTAGCCTTGTCAAAGTCTGTGAAGCTACACAGATTACCACCTTCCCCTACAGAGAGAAGAGAAATAGCAGAAAATGCTCCATATGGTGAAGCAAGCCTGGCTGTCAGTTTTAGCTTAATATTGGCCTCCTGTGAGCTGTAGTTTATTTTTTCTCACAGTATCTACAGCATGTCAAGAATGTTGGAAAAGATGATTCTAAACTTTGGAAGTTATTTTTACAGCTATGGTAAACTAAGGAAAAAAAATCTGGCCTTCACTTGCAATGCCTGGACTGTGCTTTTTATTTTTTAGAGGAATATATTTTTAAACTGTTTTTAACAGTGTTTATTGCTGCACCTTTTTAATTTAATAGGAGTATTTGTGTATTAAATATGGAAATCAAGTGGTGTAAATGTGCATATGGATTATTTTTGTTTCACACCTTTGCTGCTATAATTAACATTAAGATATTTTCCAAAATGTATCTCTTTCTTTTTCTGTCCCCACAGGTTCATGCTTTAAATATTCTTCGGGCACTGTTTCGGGATACCCATTTAGGTGAAAACATCATGCCTTATGTTGCAGATGGAATACAAGCAGCAATTTTAGGTTTTATGTCACCTGTCTGGGCAGTAAGTTAATTCTTCGTTTTTCCTCTCTAATTTGCAGGATGTAGAGTGGTGGTGTTCAGCAAATCTTTGGGCATGTTTGTAAAAGGTAGTACCACAAGTTGTGGAACATGGTCTAATGTTTTAAAGTACAATAAAGAATAACAGACCTACAAAAAAGTCATAATGTTGGTCAATTCTTTTGATTTTGTTTCATTTTTCTGTAATATAAGGCGCTGATATTGACAAAAAGTAAGGACAAAGATTACCTTATAGATAAATTAGCTTATAGATAAGTGCATCTGGCTCTTAAATTTTAAATCAGTGCCACTAGCTTTAGAGAAGTGCATTTACATTCATTCTTGCTGTTTCATTCCCTTTTAGTAAAACATAGTATTCCATATGCCATCTTGATTAAGAGGAAAGATGCTCTGAGTTAGTTGTTTCCATGTGCTGGCCTCTGACCAGTAGACATGCTCTGTCCTTCACTCAGCTGTTCTTTTCATCTGTACATTAGTGACTGTATTTAAAAAATTAGTACATTTCAAAGGGATTTTTAAGACATAGTTGATGTTCTTTTCTTATTCTTTTAGGTAAGAAATTCATCTACGCTTCTTTTCAGTGCTCTGATTACAAGAATTTTTGGGGTTAAAAGAGGGAAAGATGAAAATTCCAAAAAAAATAGGTAAGTTTCACTTGGTATCAATTTTAAGTTTGCAAAACATGACCTTAGCCAACAACAATTTGAGAATGTTGCTTGCTTCATGGATATACTTGAATCATGATGTTACAAAAACATCTAGCTTTGCTTAAACTGTGTTGCCAAGAAATAAGTGGTGGGGCCAAAAATATCTGTTGTTAAGCACTGAGAGTTAATTTGTACACACGTGCAGTTTGAGAGAAGAGGAATGTTACTGAGAGGTTTTGGTACCAGTGGCTCTTCCAAATGACCAGTCTCTGCTGTGGTCACCAACTGGCTCTATTGCTCTTGACAGCAAAGAGGGGAGGTGAAGGAGAAGAGCAGCAATAGTCATATGTATGTTGCTTTACCTTTAGAGTAGAGCTGGAGGTAAGATTACACTAAATAATTTGAGATTTTTCCTTTTAAGTCTTCTTACTGGAGAACACCCTGTCCATCCTTCATGTCTCTTTCCTCCAAGCTCTAAAAACAGCAGTTTGCAAAGCTGATTCTCTTCCAAGGGATGCTGCCCTTGAACTCTTTAGTCCTGATCCAGATCCTCTACTGTTTCACTTTATTATGTAAAACCAATTCCCCTTGGACTCTTAAAACTCCCCAGTCCTGAGCATTCCTGTTTTCTCTGCACCCTCCAGTTGTTGCACAAGCACCCCTGTGTTTTCTTTGGCCTTCAGCCCCTTCTTTTAGCTTCTGCAGCAAATGAAGCATGCCCGTGCCCTCTGCTCTGTAGCTGAGATTCCTGCTCTAGTAGGGATGTGAAAATAACCCAGGACACACAGAATAAACTCATTAAAAAATACTCTTGGGTGAGTCTGCAGGGCCATAGAATGGTCATGCTATGGATATTATGCTAACCATTTCAGAAATTCCTAATGGATTTTCAAATCATGCCCAAGGTATGCAATTTCTGAAAGAAGGTGATTGTTACAATTTACATCCAAAATTCCACTCTTTTTTTTTTTTAACTCAGTATACAGTGGTTTCTCAGTGTTGATCTGTGCAGCTAATGTAATTTTCATGCATGCTATGAGAAACTGAATGTTCTGGGATGATACTAGTCTTTAATCTCTTAGATGATAGGTTCCATTTTACGTGTTGGGAGTAATAAATTTTGGGCATCACTTGAAAAATCAGTTACTATGAATGTATGAATGAGAAGTAATACAGGTGAGATGTTGGAGGGAGATTTCCCTTAGAAGGTAACTCTTCCCCCAAACCCCATTTGAAATGTCATCTCCCCTACTGCATGAAATTATCCTTGTTTTGTCATAAACCTAAATCACTCCTCTCCCAAACCTGGAATTCACTCCCATAACCCCTTGAAACCCAAGCAGAGCAATGAAAAGTGCTTTATCTTCTCACTTTGTTTTTGTAACAGCATTTAAAGTTTGGGGTTTTTTAATTCCAATACTGAGCACTTACTGAAAGAGATGTATGTCAGCATTTTAAAGCACATATCCTAGGGAAAAACTTCATGCTAACTTCTGCAGTGGGAAGGCAAACTGACTTCTCAAACGTGTGCAGTGATTCCTGTGGTGTGCATCTGTGATTCCTGTTTGTGAAGCTGCAGAAAGTAATGTGTTTGAGCATTTGTTGGGGATGGGAAATACCAGAATGAAGGGAAGTAAACTTTTATGTAGCTTGGTTGAATTTATTATAAAAAACGTTAGTTTTTGTAACTGACACTGTTGACTTGCTTCCCTGAAGCTTTTTGTTTACAGTAATGTTTTTGTAGTTATTTTGACCAAAAGATGTTAAAACTGGGCTGAATTATTTTTCTTCCTCTATTCATGTAGCAGTTTTGCATCAGACATTGTATGTAGCTATTTCTGCCATTTCCCACGTGTGGCTGTCAGTGCCATGAAACAGGGAATGGGAAGAGAGTTGTAAAGACAGGTCAGTGAGAGATGGGACGTATGAACACAGAGACTTCAAGTTCCTGACTCCTGTCTCTAGAGGAGATACTGGTTTAGACAGAGAAAGTTTGACTTCTTTTTTTGTAAAGCTTCTTCCTCTGAATGTCACAGGTGGGTTTAAGGTAGATGGTGTTTGGCAGGAGGTCTGTTGGAGTGGTTTGGCACCACGAGGTGTCACCGTTGCTGCACAGCTCCCTGCAGCCACGTCCCTGGGGTGTCGCTGAGCTTGGGCACGGATCTCCCACAGCTCTGCACTAACCACTTGTTGTGGTTAGTGTTTTGCTGGAGCAGAATTTCATATAGTAGAGTAATTTCTTTTTCTCTCACTTTTAGATCTGGCAGTTTCCTTCAAAAGCACTAGCATCTCCACAACTTGCATCCATAGGAGCTTGTGTGAAAGCCATCTGGGTTGGAGCTGCTGGTACTGTTGTGGGCAGGATGTTCTGTTTGCATTGAGGGGCAGTCTGTCTGTGAACAGACCAGCTCTCTGATGCTGCCAACAGGACCTTGCATAGGTTTCTAGTTTGCCTCATTTTAGACTAGGGGTTTGAATCTGTCTCTTCTGTGCCAGTGGGGAGTTACCTTATTGCTGGGCTATTCTGGGCACCTGTCTAAAAAAGGATGGACCTTCTGGTTATTTTCTCAAGTTTTTATGAAACTGATACAGTTGTGGTGATGGAGAGTTTGTGCAGACTTCCAGAGGAAAGCATTGTTGAAACACTACTGGCAACTTAACTCCACTGCTGTGTTTCCTTAACATAGTTTTTGTTATGTTTTGTGGTGGTGTTTTTTATTTCTTATTTCCACTAACAATCCACATAGTGTCCTTTATACATAAATTATAAGTCTCTCATGTTTCCTGCTGCTTTTGGTCTGCTGATGTTATGTTCCATTCCCTGTTGATGTTAATTTTGTATGTTAGAACTGCTGTGTAGCTGGGGTGTTTAATGTAGTGACAACACAGTGGTGGTCCAGTATTTGATGGCCTGGAGCAGTTGTGAAGTGCTGGACTGAATGAAATGTAACCTATGTCTGACCAGTAACGTGATTTTTGATTTGCTGGGTTGTTTTTTTTTTTTCAGACATATGTAAAAGAATGATGGGTTTGGGTTTTTGTTTTGATTCCTGGAATTAGTGGTTGGTTTTTGTTTTATGTTTATCTCCAAACATTCCTGTGTCACTTAGGGTGTGTGCAGCAGAACAGAACTGTGAACAGGCCTCTTCACTCCATGACAGAGAGCGAGAGGGTGCCTGACTCTGCTGACAGACTTTTAAAGCTACAGCTGTGAACAGGCCTCTTCATGACAGAGAGTGAGAGGGTGCCTAACTCTGCTGACAGACTTTTAAAGCTACATCTGGAGTGGCCATGCCTGCTGGAGAGCAGAGGCAAGAAAGCACAGTGAGCTGGACTTTGTGATGATGGAAGAGGTATTAGGAAGGTCAAACAGAACTGTCTGTCTCAATCTGAGGACAAGGCAATCCACTGCATTATGCTAGAGAAGGTCTGTTTTCTGAAAACTTGGTCTGCAGTGTGAGGAGACAGAGGTTGAGGAAATGACCAACTACATGCCATGGCTCCTCCTGCTTGTTTGTGCTGATTCAGTTGTCAGCAGGGCTCTGCTGTGGGTCGTGACGTGTGTGCCTTGACAGCTGTGCTGGTACAACTGGGGAGTGGAGAACTGGAGCAGTGAAGGAGAGGGATTTATTGAGCAGAACTCTGGGCTCATGCCAAATTTCACTCTTAGGGGTTCTCTGGAAACTCGGAGGGACCACTTTACATCACGCTCTACGGGCGACGCAGTCATATCCTGTTTTCATTACATTTTACAGGTCTTTTTATTTTTAGCATGGGCAAGGAAATAACGAATTGGAAAATTAAAACTTGCAAAATAACCATGTGCAGCTCTTGAAAGTAGAAGAGAGAGAAGTTGTGTGAAGACTTTTTACAGCGTCTGCACAACTGTACAGGTTGAGCTTTCTCTTGCTAGTGAAAAGAATGTTAGAAACAACAACACTTCCTCTGGGTTCTCATGGATAAAGACTCTGTCAAAACTTCTAATGCTTTTCTGTGTATGTGATTGTGTGTATGCATGTGTATGTGCATGTGTGCATATTTAGCTAAGTAATACTTTCAATTCCATGTAACTGACATTTAAAAAGTGGTCCTGTCAGCACTTACCTGTAGTAGGGTTTAGTTTAGTTATTTTATAGTTGATTTGGGAATATAATTTTCTTAAAAGTTACAATGATTTCAAATCACAAGACTTGAAATGAAATTCTAGCCCCATAAATACAAAGCAGTGAGGAAGGGTTGGAAAGGAGTCTTGGCGTTTGGCCCATCTGTATTTGGTTACAGAAAGTGTGCTCTGCATAGATACAGACAGTGTGCTTCAGAGAAAATAACCCCCTCTTCTCCTGCCCTTCACTGCACAGGCATTTATGTTGGTTTAGCTAGTGACTTCATCCTGGGGGGATGCCAGATGTGTGCTTCCAGTGGGAGGCTGTGCCTGGGGCAAGGGCCAGGGCAGCCCCTCTGCAGAGCTGCTGTTGCTGGGGCAGAGGACAGGCCTAGCACCTGCAGCAGCGTGGCAGTGGGGCTGGGGAGCAGGATGCAGGTGGTGGCATGGTAGCTAGGCACATTGGGGTACAGGTTGTCTCTAGCTGAGGGTAACCTCCAGTATTCACCCCATGAAAAATCAGGATGTCTTGAGATGAAGAGATTCTAAAAATAAAGTGGAGTGTATGTTGTGATAGTTAAAACATAAAACTCAAAATAACTTAGATATGAAGTTCATGGAAATGAATTTTGAGATGTAATTATGTTTCTCATCCTAGAGGTATTCGTTTCTGCTCAAATGAGTTACAGCAGTGACAGTGATACTTCAGCTGTTTCATATATATAAAATACAGATGTATGTGTCTCTATATTGTGTATATGTACACTGTATGTATGTGTATGTATGAAATACAGCAGTGGTCTGTATGTGCACAAACACACAGACATTTTTGGTTGGGAGTCCAGTGCTACTTAAAGCTCTAAAAGTGCTATTGTTTGTTATTAGACAACAATCTGCTT